TCCCTTTCTCTTTCACGCACTCTCTTCTTGCTGCCCATGCCAGCTATAGCTAGTTATATAGATTCCTGCCAGAGTCATGACTCTCCGAGCACAGAAGTAATTAAATGTTTTTGCCTGCACGTTCGCGTTTTGCTTCTGGCTAAAAAACAGAAGATGAAACAAAAATGAAGAAGAAAACAATCATGCTTGCTTTTCACATTTTCTATGCTTTTACCTTGCGCCGCTCTACGCGCTTCTCATTACACAATTAAATATTAAATCGCAATTAAATGATTGCATGAAATTACAGACAAAACATGTTTCCCCAAGTGGTTTTCCCTCTCAGTTTTCAGTTTGATTAATTGAGACTAGCTGGAAAGATATGCGCAGAGCAGCGGCTGTCATGGGATTTGCAATGCGAAAACTAAGCAAAAACTTTTTAAAACTGTCTGGAAAAACTCGTTAAAAGTTCGGCGCGTTAGTGGCAAATTATTTAATTGAATACGAAAACTGATTTAAGAAACTTGGCTTAGCGGCTAACACGATCTAGTTGCCAGCCCCAACCTTGCACTTGGCCAAGCGCAAGGTCAGCTAAAACCGCCCAATTTAATTCAGGGTCATACGAGGGGCAAAGCAAAATCGCATAAAACAGCGAGCCAACAGAAATCATTTGTTCATTTACATATACATGAATTTTCCACAATAGCAACAACCTTTGACTACAAATGGGCAGCTACGCTCTTGGCCAGGTCAGCTGTGAGCCGAGCTCAACTGAGTTGAGTTGAGTTGAGCTGGTGGCTGGTTTATGGCACGACCCCAATATTTATTTGTTTGTCTGCCATTCGAGCACTCATTCAACCATTCAGGCATTCATTCGGCTATTGAGGCTTATTGCAGCCATTTGGCCAATAACAACAACAGCAGCCGCTTTGCCGCTTCTTCGAGTCGCAGTTTTTCACGTTTTTCACTTTGCTTTCCCAACATTTCTCCTTAATTTTTTTTATTCAGCGACCGCTTAAAGTTGCATTTTACTGGGACCGAAACCTGTGCTTGGACCTTGGCCAACTGGCTGCCCAACTTTGGCAAATTGAATAAAACGGATGAAAAAGAAACAAGAGAGTTCTACTTGGGAGTGACTGACTGGTAGATACCATAAGTGCAGCTTTCTTCTTCCCTTGCGCACATTCAGTAATTATCAAAGCTCGAGACTCTATTAACTTAACTTAATTTTCTTTTGAAAGAAACGAGAAGAGGTAATCAAATAGAGTCAGCATTCAACATTTGATATCTCTAGCTCTAATAAGCTCCGAGATGTGCTTAAGAAATAGGATTTCGGCGTCGGTTTTTATTGATTTCTTGGAATATGGGCAAGTTATCAATTACTGGAAATCGACTTAATATGCACGCACTATTTCAGGACTTCTAGTCTAAGTGTCTCTAGCTGGAATAGTTCCCGAGATCGAGGCGTTCATGAAGGTACGGACAGACAGACAGAGGGATCGACTTTGCAGTTGATGGCCAAGAAGGATATATGTATATACACTCAATGGTGTCGAAAATGTTACATACATGAGCACAAACAGGTATACCCCTGTTTTTCTTTTACCATTCTTAGGGTACAAAAACCTAATTCGCCAACTATTTGGCCAACTAGCGCGATAAATCCCAAAAAGTTATCAGCGTTAATTTTGTTTACGCAGCTTTCTTGTAAAATTAATAAAAGCGACTTGCGCGAAAAGTTGGGTTCATAAACAGATTTAGATTTAATCAAATGATAGCCCACAGGCTGGATAATAAAGTCAATATATTTCAATGTGGCAGCTCGATTTAATATGCCACAGAGACGCAGACGAGACAGCACAAAGAGGGGCCACAGGGGACACAGGACAGCGGGACACATGAAAAATGGCAAAGGGCTCATGTGAAAATGTGCATGGGCTGGAAAAATGCTTTTAGCTCTGTATAAACTATCATCAGATTTTCGGTGAGGGCGGGACGGCTTGCGGCGGGGCCGGGCGGTTCCACATTTTATGGCCAACAAACATTCTGTGGGCGCAACTGACAGAACACATAACACACACACGCACGCACACACGTGCGCCCACCCTGCCCCGCTCTCATAACTGCCACAACTGCGGGTCGAATAATTTTGTTGTGCGTTGGCACCACAAATTAAAGAACGGGCAAGGGGGCGAGTGGGATAGGGAGGGCAGGGTGTCATAACGAAAGAGAAATCGAAAATGTAACGCTTGAAAATTGCCTGTCAAATGACAAAAATGGTTTCATTTTTGAGCCCCTAATGGCAGTTGGTCATTTTTTATGACCAAAACGAAAACAAATAGATGGAAAAAAAGCTTTCGGTTGCGCGAGCTAGCCCCGATCAGACCCGAACCCTATATTTATATAAACACATTCAAAAGGGGGTCTCTTTAGGCGCCGGGGCACGTGTTGTGGTCGTAATGGGATCAAGCGATTGGAGCCAGGGCTTTGTTTTCTCCAAAGGGTTACACATGCCAAACAATTTGTTGTGAGTTTGAAGAGTGAAGAGGTTAAATCTGTGCTGAACCTGTTTTTGAACTTGATTTGAACTTGAGCTGCAGGTCAAATTTTGATGGTGGGTTAATTAAAATTTAGGATATTGGATATCCATTTTTAAAAATGTAATAATAAAACAATACGCTAATGCTTAAAATTTAAAAGTTTGTTAATAAAATCTCTTCAAATATAGATTGAAATATTTTTTTTGCGTGAAAATTATAAACTATCTCTCATTAATCATTAAAATTTTCTTTTTGAATGTAGTTTTCAGGATATTTAACTCATTGTTTTCATTAAGTTACAACCTTAAATTTCCTTTTCTGTGCCAAAAATATATCTATATTTTATTTCATAAAACATAGTTAAAATATTTATTTTAAAGTTTAATTTTTTTTATTTTGTTCACTTGCAAACCCTAAATTGAACCACTGAACCAAATAGTTAGCCATATTTTAAGTTATTCTTCAGCTCCTGCGCATTCTTTTATATATTTTCCTATAGTTTTTATTGTATAAATTGAAAATTTCTCACTCCGCTTGCTCGTAATGTTTGCAATTGCAGGCTGTGAGGGATTTTTTAGCCCTTTGCGTCCATAAATCGCTTCCGCGCAATTGCATTGATTGAGGCGGATAACGAGGTCCTTAGCCAGTGAAATATAAACATTGCCCGGCTATTTAATGAAGCGTAAACCTAGCAGGCTGGCTGCAGCGATTCGCAAGTTGATGTTGTTGTAGATTTTCAGCTCGTTATCCTCAATCTGCACCTTGGTACGGCAACGTAGCCCAGTGGACAGCGGGAGACATAAAACTGTCAAAAAGTCGCCTATATAAATCGCTAAACTAAATGCCTTTCATAGTTTAATGTCACCTCGGGGGATTTGAGTCAACATACAAATACACACACACACAGGGGTTCTATAGCAGACAAAGTGTCTCTATCGTTGGCCAGTGGCAGCAGCAGCAGCGGCAACAACAAGTAGAAGAACAAGCACAGCGAACATAAAAGTGGCAACAACTGGAAACTGAGCGCTTACACTTGGAGAAAAACAAGATTTTCAATTTTGTATGGCAGGCATACAATTTATACGAAATTTTATTCCGATTATTTTTTAGGTACATTATTTTTGTACCCTAAAACCGCTTGAAATGATTAAAAATGGTTTAACAAGCTTTGTGTCTATGCAACAGGCAGAATGGAGACTTCTTCAACCCCTTAAAGTGTATATATATTCCTGATCAGCATCAGTAGCCGAGTCATTAAAGACAAGTCTGTCTGTCTATACGAGTTAAGGACCTGAAATTTTGAATGTAAGTCCTAAGGTAGCCTTTATAGATCGAGTAGGTTTTATATAATAGATAACTTGAACCTATTTCATGAAATTGATAAAAATCGATATCGAAATCGACATTCTATTTTGACCATATCGTGGATCTCAATGACACTAAATTTGGGATGTAGGAACATATCCAGAGCCATAAGGCCTCTCCCCGCTTCACACAAAGTTGGTAACAAAAAGAAAATATTTTGGAATTAAGAGGCTTTGTTGTTATTAATTACATGTAACCAGACTTCGTATATTGAATAAATGTTTGAAAAGTTTTGAAAGAAAACTCAGCCCATGTCCTTAATTAAGAACTGTCTGAATAATTTGAGTAAGGTATTAAGGAGTTTTGGGATAAAAAAACGCTCTTGAATTAAGAATTTAAATTTGCAGGCTTAGAAATGTTTAGCATGACGTTTTTTCTAAAATAAGGTAAGAAATACTTGAATTTATTTTGTGTGTAGCTTCAGCCACAGTTTGACTTTGGCTTTGACTTTGGCTTTGACTTTCAATTTGGTGTCCTGCTCCACTTGTGGTTGTCATTAAAAGGCGCATGAATTATGCAGTAGCCCAAGTGAACTAGTTGCAGTGGACACTACATGGTAGATGGAACACGGACTCGGACTGGGACTCGGTTTTGCTTGTTGTTTTAATTAACTAATTAAGATTTTTCTATGTCGCTTGTGGCTTGCAGGCAGCATCAGCAGCAGCAGCGGTAGCAGCAGCAACCGCGCCGACTGGCAGAGGTAAGCGTGGAATGTTGGCATCATTTGTTTTTGTTGCCCGCCAAGTTGCTAAGGACCCAATTAACCTTTTATGGCCATTTGGCACAATAACGAGAAACGAGCAACGCGAACAAACGCAAAGACAATGCCACAAGACACAATGTTAAGCAACTTGGGGCATCTAAGGAGCCAGACAGCTAGCCAAGTAGCCAACTAGTCAACTAGCCAACTTGCAACTGCAACCGCGACTCGGCTAAATTGTTGGCCATACTTGGCGCTTATTAGTTTGGACCCAAAACAATGAACTTGCTTCTTTTTGCTTTTAAACAGCCAGCTACAAATTGACATTGGACCGAAAATTTGTAAACTTGCGCCCCAAAATGGGGCCAATGTTGGTTACCTGTTTTTGTGCCTATTTTTTTTTTTTGGCTTCTCACCTCCATGCAGCCCGTCTGCCTATCAATTATTTATTTATAAATAAATGTATTCCCAATGAGTTCCTTATCGAGCTGCAATGAAAAAAAGAAGGGCGTGAAAAACAATAAATCATCAACAGTACAGGTAACTATATAGGCAGAGTTGAGATAAGCTATTATTATGAACTGATAATGTGCCGAACTGTTTGTAATTTTGTGTGTTTAATTAACTTTGCCACAATTTATGGCACACTGCACACCATATGGAGGTGGCTAAGAAATGCATTATGCTTTTCCCACCAAGCAGCATAATTAACTAAATAAATTTTGTTTGGTTGTTTTAAATATGGCTTAAATTTTCTCATTTACATATTGAATTATTGCATATTTTGGTTTTTTTCGGATACTTTGTGTTTTGTTATGCAAATTTGTGGCTTAAATGTAATTTATTATAATTAAAATGCAATTGTTTTAGCTGAACTAGCATCGATTATTTTTGCATAATTATTTATGATGTGTGCGGAAATACATAAATATTTATTTTAATTGTACGCGTTGGCCTTAGATAATTTAAAATTATTTTTACATAAATCAAATTGTTTTTGTTTTTAATTGTATTAAGTACAGAGGTGTTCGAAATTGTTGCAGAATTTTGGTAATTTAAAAATGGCTACTTTATAAAATACAATTTAATTATATAAAAACGAAAACAGAAGCAGTTTTCATTGGAACGTTGAAGTTTAAATAGCCATGCGAACATGTAGATATTAAAGAGATTTCGTTAAAGCTTTTCGTTCGGGAGTTGTTAACAAATCCATATTAAAGATATTTTGATTTTTGAGCGGCTGCTCATATAACACCAAGTGTATATAAAACTATTTATTCAAAAATTCTTCTTGATTTAACGACTTTTGTTGTTTTTTCTGGGTTTTTTCGATTCTTTTTTTCATGTATCCAGCCGGCTGCTTATCAGTCTTTACACCTTTGCGGTCGCCCAACCGGTTACGTGTTGGTTTTAATGTGCAACGGCTTCAAGGCACATCGACAGCAACAACAACAGCTTGTCTCAAGCGAGCGGCAGATAAAAATCGCATGACGGTATCAACTTCAAGTGGCCAGCGGCAATGTGTGGGTGTTGTGCGAGTGTGTGTGTGGAATGAGTACGTGTTCACGTTGACCAAGACAACATATACACACACTCTCGTGTGCCACAATCTTTTTTCAATAACTAATCAGGTTACACTAATTAGAAACGCTCGAGTTGTGGGCTTGAGGCAAGGTGTGAAGGGTTGGGGCAATAGGCCACGGGGTAGCAACTGAAGCTGCAACTGAATAATATAATTAATATACCAATTTAATTAATTTGATTAGAAACGTACGCGTCTTTGACACCGAGACAAGCTAATTAATGTTTCTGGCCAAACTCTGTTGGCCATAATTAATTTAATTTCACTTCAATGGGCAAATGTTTTAGGCAGCAGCCGCAGCAGCAGCTTCTGTTTTCAAGTGCTTTGAGCTGTCTTTAAGAGGCTTTAAAACTCTGGCAACAAATTTCGCACGCTTTGCGTTGCCCACCAACAGCGACAACAACAACAACAACAACAATAATAAGAGCAAAAGAACAACAACCACAATGTTGGAAGATTTACGCCCTGGCAGTTCATTAAATGTATGTTGGACCCAATAAACTAAAGCTGCTTACATGAACAGATCCACAAAAAGGGTAGCCGGTTACTCATTCTTCTTTCAACATGCTCTACGAAACAAGGGGTATATGCCTTTATTGTAGTACGTAGTAACCAAATACTAATGCTTATGTAATCAAAATATAAATTCTTTGCGGAAAGAATTGCAAATGATAAAAATATAAAATAACGTGAAAAATGTAAAAAGATATATCAATTTCTTAAATAACTTTAGGAATTCAAAGCCAACTATTTCTTTTTAAGTTCGTTCACAAATATTCCGTTTTTTTACTTCTTCTGAATATTTCGTTTCGCTGCTGTTTGCCATTATTTATTTATTCTAATACAAATTTTATAAATCAGAAATTTGAGCTTTAGAATCTTTCTAAATAATTAGAAAAAAGTAAATTTTTTATTTTTATTCTGTTAAGGAATATTTATTATATTAAGGAATATTTCCTTTGTTTTTCATTTTAACTCAGAATTTTCTTATAAATGTTATCCCCTGTTTAAATTTTCTCACATGCCTTATTTAAACTTCTGGACGTCGGTTTTTCAATATTGTAGTGTATATTAAAATATCTCAATACCCGGAAAATCATATTTTTTAAGCCAATGAATGGCTTAAATTATTTGCTAATGATCGCAAAATGTTGCTGGTCATAAACACACTTAAATGTACATAAACAAAATGCCTTTCGGGTTTCTTGTGTTTAGTTAAAATTCTTTTTTCGTTTTCTGTTTTTTCCCCCCGATTTTGTTTGGCTCGAAGCGTTTCATTCTGTTAAATGCCCTCGCACGATGTGGGCCATTAAAATAGCTTCGATTCGACCAGTTGGCATAATTTTATTTACTTCTCTGCTCGTCTCCCTTTTTCTCAATATTTCGCTCTCTCTTTCTCTTTTGGTTGCTGGTTCATCATTCATCATTTGCAACGTCTTGATTAAGCGCAATTAATTGCTGCAATTGCTGATTGTAATTCCAATTTATGAGGCCTTTACAACTGATTGGAGGACGCATTCGACCCGGGACCAATATCTCAATATACCTTTCAACGTTCAGCTGTCCATCATCCGCGACGAAGGTCATATGCATATTTATACCAGTTGCTGTTGCGTTTATAGTTGTTGTTGTTGTTGTTGTAGATATTGTACACGCAATCGCTTCTTTTGAATATTAATAAAAATTTACATAGCCGGTTAACCAGTTTTGAATTGTTACTGCCTCAACCTCTGTCTTGCTCCCTCACTCTCTCACCCTCTCCTCTCTCTCTCTCTCTCTCAGCCGCCTTCGTCATCGTCTATGTGTGTTTTGGCAAGCGTATAAATTGCCAGACCTTTATGTTTATTGATTTTGGCTAGCGACATGTTCTATGGGCTTATGGACTAAGATTTAACGACTGTTCAGGGATAAAGCGCCACTCAATAAAGCGGCTCTAAATGAAAATGAATTTACAGTGGGCAAAAAGGCATTTAGATAAAAAAAGCTGTAAAACCTTTAAGAACGACGCACAATCAGGAATTAAAGAGCTTACAAGAAAGGGAGAGGCAGAGAGAGAGACAGGAAAACAGAATTCATTTCAAGATTCTTATAAAACCTTAACGAAAGACGCACAACACAAAAATAGAAAATAACTTTGAAAAAAAAAGATAATTAGCATATGTGCTGACGGGCAAACCTTTAAGAAAGACGCATCAAAAGGAGAGCGAAATACATACAGAAAGTGAAAGAGAGTAACAAAACGAGAGACCACTTAAGCTTCTTATAGAGGCAGACATTGGTCAAAATGAGATCAGCGCAAGAGAAAGTCGGATTTATATACACAATCACGTATTTATGTAGCTTATCTAGTTTGTTTATTTAACAGCATATTTCCCACTCTGGAATTACAATTGTAAACAAATAAAAATTCTAGAATTTGAGGTAGCCACGCGCCAAAAATAGATTACAGAACTTTATACTAGAGATCTGCCGAAATTAACATATTTGTCGATTGCGTCCATTGTGCAACTGTATTTCTTTTATGTCCAAAAAAAAACGAACTCAAGCAATTTGTCTGGAATTTGGACAGCACTCGAAGGAAATGAAGATTTAGAGACTTTATCGAGGGCTTTTCCACTCACGTGCTTATCGATTTTGTGGCCTATTGTTGTTGTTGCTGCTGCTGCTGTTTGTCCAAAAAATTTAATTACAAAACAATAAATGTTGTCAGCGGCAGGACAATGGGCGGCAAATGGCAACAGTAAAAAAACAAATAAAAATGCCAGGCAATAATTTAACTGGCAGTCGCGCAACTCGCGACTTGCAACAAAAATGCGAATTATTTACGCAAGTACAACGTGAGGTCTGCAGCACGAATGCCAATATATTCCAGCTCTCATGAGCCGGGACTCAAGTGGATGCCGAGTCGTTGCAGTCGTGTCAGCATCCGGGGAATGCCACTGGAGTCTCTCTCTATCCATCTCCCACTCCCTGTCTCTCTCTCGCACTCTTAGATGCTGCTGCACAGAAATTGCAAATCATGCAATTTGTGAGCACTTCGAATGCAATCAGCCAACTGTTTGATTTATGATCATTTGCAGTTGGCAATTTTATTTTGTTGTATTTTGCACTAATTTTTCAAATCAAAAGCCAAACCAAAAGCCTGACTCAACATAAAATTAATCATAGCATAGAGGAGCACAAAAGTCGTTACAATCAATAACTCAAAAATCGATTGCAGGACCTGCTGCAACTCCTAGCAACGCCAGATACGCGCGGACCAGTCGTGAGACAAGTTAAAGACAAGTTGAAATGCCCAACCTCGACCTCTGGCTGCATAAGACCAGTAATTATAGCTACGGACTGCGGACTACGGACGACGGAATACCAGCAGATTGGGGGCTGCACTGCCCCGTTGTGATAAACGAGCGTTGGGGCCATTGTGAGGCATCCTTTGTTCGGGGCGCTGATTTGTGGCTGTGTGGAAAACAACTTCATTATGAAATATACCTTAACAAAGGGGCTTCTTAGTTTTGTTACGCAAAGAGACATAGCTGATAGCATTAGCTAAGATATATGTATATATATTTGATCTGTACCAACAGACTAGTTTATATAGCCAAGTATGTTTGTTTCTATGCAATTTATTAGCTGAGTTTTGAGGCTTTCTTAATGTTTCATCTGTTTTGTTGCAGGCAGCATTTATTTATATATATATCCCTATATCATATAGCTACCATAGGCACAATTCAAAAGATCAAAAGTTAAGTTCTTGCATAAAAAACATCTTCGTTTTTTCATATCAAATAACCCAAACCTCCACAACATTCAGCTTCGTATTTTGTTAACTAGGCTGCTTTAGTCAAACTCCCACATATACAGACTTATCTCTTATATCACTTATGCAGTTACTATAAAAAATGGCAT